ATGTGATAGATGGTTGCGTTGACGAAAATGCAAGAAAAACATTGACACAGTGTCAAATGGTGGTCGAAAACCCACCTGACGACCCTGTTTATAGTAAGCATAACATATTTTGCATGGGCTTATTCCGTTCGTTAACGTCGAGGAATTACAGCTGTCCGTTATACCCCACAACGTTTGTAAGTAAAATGTTAACGTTTTTGGAAAACGTTAAGTGATGTACGTTGATAATAGTCATTCTGAAAATTTCAGGTTAACAATAACACTCATTTTATTGACGCATCTGAAGTGTATGGGTCCGATGAAAGCTATGCAAAGCATCTCAGAATGATGGAAGGCGGAAGACTTAATTTCTCAACAGGCGACAATGGGCAAATGTTCTGTCCATTTTTGGCCAATAAAAATTTGGACCTTACAGTACATAAAGTAACTGACACCGAATATGACACAGGTTAATGAAAACTATAAACGTCAAATTGACGATAGTCGGTATTATGATGAGTTAGATTGGTTCATTCCATGCATCGCGTTGCAAAATTTATATAAACATACAGTTTTCGTCATAAGATATCAAAATTATTATATTTGTGTTTATATTTTAACGATTATTATACCCTAGATTAAAATGCTCAAGTGTTATGAAATATGGGGGTTCCATTTAAAGAAATAAATAAAAATATCTGAAGAACCGGTTTTTACGTTTTAATAACATTTTATCGAAATGTCTTGCATGCAACTGAATCGTCCGTTCTGGTACTCTAGCGGTCATGACATTTAATAAACAAATAGTTGAATAATAAATAAGTTCTCATATATTTTTTTTCCAGTAGATTTTTCGATTTTTTGTAAACGAATAAAATATTAAAATATATTTTAATAGCTAACATTTTGTAATCCCATTTCAATGATAATATTTTGTAAAATATTCATTGATTAACACATAGGTGGTACTAGGTTAAACCTTACTAAGGTATAAACATTTATTGCGATTCTCAGATCTCATGGTCATCTTTGCACCCGAGGAAAATCTCCAAGAAAAATTGTCTGCACCATAATTACTCCAAACATCACCCCCTCAACTCCAAATACACCATTGAATTAACATTTGTAAAATTTTTTAGTACACACTTTGTATTTTATATTAAACACAATACTCATTAATACATCTTACTTACCTGAAACTATTATCTTAAAGTTCACTGTTTAGTATATTACAGCAATTACATGTAGATTATGTTCATAGGTGATCCGGATAATGGAAATCAAAATTTAGGAATAACAGCGATGCAGACGTTATTCTTAAGGTATCATAATTATATCGCTTTTAAACTATCAACTATAAATCCTTATTGGTCAGATGAAACGCTTTACCAGGAATCTCGCAGAATAGTCATTGCAGCTATTCAACGTATCACCTATAAAGATTTCTTACCTATAATTATCGGTATGCATAATTTATTTACAATGTACAGCACAATTGAAATTTAAAAGTATTCAAAAATTATACAATATTTTAATTTTAAACAGGAGAAGATTTTCAAGAAATATATGGATTGAATGAGGCGAATATTTATGACCCTACCATTAATCCATCTACGTCACAGGAATTTTCAACCGCTGCCCTCCGAATTCTTCATTCGATTATACCTGTTCAATTCAAGTATGTAAATATGTAATTAATACGTTTTATTCAAATTTGTGTATTTTATCAATAATAATATTATAGATACAAGGTGATTCTTTAATAATTAAATACTTATTTCTCATCATGTATTAACGCTTTTCGAAATATTATTTTAGATAATTTGTAGTCTCAACGAAGAAGAAAACGACAATTAAACATTTTTTTTTATTACTTTTAGTTGTTTTTTAAATGAGAGCAAACATTTTTATTTTCATATTCTGAAGCGGAGTTATTTTAAATTTATATAAATTGAATTTCCAATGAAATAAGTTAATTAGTTATGTTAATTTATAAGTATTTAATAACATTACAATTTAAAGTTTAAACTAGTAGAGTAGTATTCAACATTTAAGGTTCATTTTTCCCGCTCCATTCAGTTTTCAAAACTTTAAACAAGGTTACTTGTTTAAAATTTCCGGAAATACATTCTGCTTCAGTAAAACCTAAAAATGATAAAGGTAAAAAATTTAAGTTTTTTTCATCATTTTTGTTTTCTTATGACTTCAAATAATCCAAGAAAATATTTCCAAAATCTAATACTATTGAAAATATTAAAGGTTAATTTTAAAAGAATAGCGCTTTTTAGTAGCTACCTACTGAACGTAAAATATTTAACTAATATTGAATTTTTGGTACTATATAGTTTTATAAATAAAGATTATAAAACAGAATATTCAATAAATGTTACGGATTGGATGGGAAAATCAAACTTATTACCTTTACAAAATAATTTTGATAAATTACTCAAAGGATTTTTGGAGACACCTGGTCGATTGGTGCAGCCATCGTACAACTATTATGTGATTATGCAAACTTCTTATTATATATTATATTATTTTGTATGAAATATTCAAATATTTTTGTATTTTAATTTTATAGATATCCAACTTCATGCTCTCTAAATTTAACCAACCTCCGTATACAGGACGTGATTTACTGACCATTGATATTGTGAGGGGCCGTGATGTGGGCTTACAACCATACAATTACGTCAGACATTTTTGTGGATATCCGTTGGCGAATGATTTTGAAGACTTAGTAGATCTGATTCATATAAAAGTATAATAAATCATAAATTAGGTATAATTTAAAATACATACATACAAACTATTGTAGTTCTAATTTATTTTAGGATATAATGAAACTAAAAGAACTTTATAACTCAGTCAATGACGTTGACTTAATGGTAGGTCTTTTATTGGAAAAACACAGTGATGGTGCAATCGTGGGCCCTACTGCACGGTGTATAATTGCCGATGGTTTTTATCGATTTAAAGCTGGGGATCGATTTTTCTACGATGTACAAGGACAGCCCAACAGTTTTACTAATGGTAAATAAATCAAATCCACAGAGTACAATAAAATTATTGCCTAATACTTATGTACATAATATATATTATTATGACGTCTTGTAGTACTTACTCTGTTTTTGAATCATAGTGGAACGAAAAATTACTTCGATTAAATAATACGTACAGACAACGTGTATTATTATTATGAACAAAATTGTTCAGTTGGTTACTTTAAAGTATACACGACTCTTTTTTTGCAAAAAAAAATTATAGAATTTTTCATCAGGAGTACTTAAATTGTTGTTTTTAATACTGCGTTATAATTTATTAGTTGATTCGATTTAAATAATTTTCATAGTTGTACCTATTTAAGATAAATAGTCATTGATTTTATTTCCAACAGGCAACAAATATCAAAATGGTTTAAATAATATTACTATACTATACGCTACTATAAATTGACAAATGTTGAAATATGAAGAGTTATTGGTTTAAAAATAGTTAAATACATTTAAAATATTATCAATTATTTGATCGAAAGTGTATATTCATTTTTTTTTTGTTCCATGACAAATAATTACAAAATACTGTGTTATATGATAAATATAACCTAATGCTAATAAAATATGCTAATAAATACTGCACCAGAGAAATGTGATTATATTTTTTAATAAATAAATTAAACGTTTTCTAGAACAATTAAAGGTGATTCAGAAAATTACTTTTGGCCATGTTCTTTGTGCTACTTCAAATTTGGACCACGTACAAAATGACATTTTTAAAGTGATCGATCACAAGTAAATATAAAATATACAATCATACTATGTTATGTTCCATTTTTATAATATTAAATGTGTTTTAGTTTATTTCCAACAAACAAACTTGAATGTGATGAGTTCTACTTGGATTTTAAAGAATGGGAAGAATTAAGCGACCGAATAGAGTTGTAATTAAATCAAAATAAATGGTTACTACTCTTAAAAAATATTGATATAAAACTATTGGACTTTGTTTTCTATTAATTCTTTGTTTTTAAATCACATTAAATTTATTGGAGTGTTGTAATTTTCTCTTAATTATAACACCATATAGGTATAAATTGAGTTTTAGTATGTATAAATTATAAGGATGTCATCTTAATTGATGTCTGAACAACATTTTATAATATATTATATTAGTTGTTAATCGTTTTTTCATATTATATTCTGGTGAAATCGATCATCGTATTATGTATTCATTCATACTGTAGGTCAAAAAAATAGTTTGATTACATATTTACGCAATACGAATTGAGTAAATTATATCATATTACATACTCGTACTATCTAATATGTATATTTTAGTGACAAAACGGTCGATGCAGACGGTTTTTAAATCAGTCCTGAATAAAGGGGTTTATTTTATAGTTTAAGTGCCTCAAATGGTAACTACTTAATAAAGTAATAATAAACAATCAAAGTGTAAAACATATTATTGTAAGTACACCAAGTGCTTAAATTATTATTGCGATGCATTATTATATTCACTTACCAGAAATAATAATGATTACAATAATAATATAGAATACGTAATAATAATATAGAATATGTGATAACATAATATAATAATGTTATAATATAATATTAAAAGTACAAGTCATAGTATATCTGTAGAATTTATTACAAACGAGTTCATTCAACTGAATGTGTCATATCGGGCATACGTGGGAGCACCAGCACCCCTCAGTTATGTTTGAAACTACAGAATCTTGCTGACCATGATGTCAATCATAGATTTATGATCAAAGATTTTACTACATATATTATATATTCATAGCGACTGCAGCGCTATCTATACTGAGTATACTAAATATATTATACATATAGTATTTACGCGTTTTTAATATGTATATTTCAAATATATATAAGAGTAAAAAACATAAGAATATGCATTAGCAACCATCAGGTTATTTAGTATGTTAAATTAAGAAAAATAGGATTGGGTAACACCGTAAAGCAAACCATTTCCCCTCGGTCCCCGGTGTAGGTTGAAATGTCAGCAACGCACTGCATAATTTAGGTAGGTATTAAACAACTTCCAGACTCCAGTAACCTGCCTTCAAAACTCTTCTGTTCATTCAGTTATAGTCCATGTGATAATTATTATGAACACAAAAACAAATGAATTGTTTATGAAACCAACTCAGATTCAAAACAACCAGAAAAATCAATGAAAATCATTCAAAATGTAAGTTCTACGTTCAAGGTGATCGAATAGACTATGTTATGCTTTTTTAATTTAGAAACCAAATACTGGTTTCATTTTAAGCTCTAGATAAAGTAAGACGAATTATTTTGTTACAATTAGTTATTTCCGACTATATTTGTATTTGTTCCTTATGTCCATGTTTCAATAACAATAAAGTAACTTGTAATTTATTGCATCTATTCAATGTTGGGAAATTGACGCATTCATTAGTTTAAGTTAAGTTAATTTTTTATTATTATTATTAACTGAAAGAGTACAAAGCATTAACTTTTAATCGACTGAGTTAATTTTAAATTTAAAGAAGTTTAAGTTGATATCAATTTCAATAACTATAATTTCAAATTTTCGTATACAATTTTATAAACACCTATGTTAATTATTACGGCTGTTGTACGTTTGTCGTTTATACAAATTAATACGCTACGTCACTGGTTATTATTTAAATCTTACCTATATGAAACGGAAACTTAATTTTTTTTTAACTAACTTAACTTTAATTATTATGTTAATATTAACGACTGGTCAACTACTAACTTATTTAAATTAATAGACAATTTTGAAGTAACTTTTAATTATTAACTTTATTTAAATTTTAATTGAACTTAACTGAGTTTAAAAATATCATTAACTTGCCCAGCCTTGCAATAAATTTACATAGAATGAATAATTCAATTTTTAATTTATTTTCTAAATAGTTTCTTATAAAACAGCAGTATCTAATCTACGTGTTAATACTATTCACTTAGATAGAAAATAAATATAAGCAAAACAACATTTCAACGTTATATGGGCGGGGATTAAGAGGAGTCAAAAAGACAAAAACCTATACACAGTTGATAGTTGGATCCGAGCCACAAAAAACGTGTTTCTGTAAGGACGATAAGTTTAATATTTTTATTGAAGTGTAGGCTGTAGATAAAATTATATCATTATACTCTCTTTCAAGAGCTTTACATATTTCTTTCTTTCACTAAATATTGAATTCATATTTTTTAGGGTGTAATTTTCATGCTAGATTTCAACTATCGTAAAGTAAAATCTTTTTTTAAAAGATAATTTTAACCAAAGAGAAAAATACCACAATACAATGAATATATTTTCTCAGAGCAATGAAACACAGTGAGTATTAAATTATATAATTAAACATCACTATACACATATTAAATATCATACAAATAGGTTTAAAAAATACTTTTACAAGATTTTGAATAACAGTAGATGCCTATTTATTATTTTTCTAATTTCAGATCGTTGTTAAAAAGCAGTCATTTTAATATTAAATGGAATAATAAAGTGCTCAAGTGGACTTTTAGTATAGTTTTATTTCTTTTATTGTTAGTAGGTGCTATTTATCTTGTGCACATTTTTACTAAGAATAAAATTCAACTGGAATCTAATGCATCTATAAAAGTACCTAATATAGTAAGTTATAATAATAAATAATATAGCTTCTATAAAATAACTAAAAACGTTATTTTTTATTTTAGAATCAAAATTTTAACTTGAAACGTTTATGTATAATAAACTAAAACTACATATTTGTTCAATTTATAATGAACGTTGTATTAAATGAGAAAACTCTCTGATAGAGCATAAATATGTAATCAAAATTGTATTTGAAAAAACCCTAAATAATGTGATTTTTTAAACAATGACAAAATAACTAATTATTATAATAAATTGTTATTTCACGTTTGAGTTAAACTTCTAACCCTCATACAAAATTAATGTTACTTTACTCTAAATTATGTGTTAATTTTAGGAAGATAAGCTTATGAAAAATCTTAAAAATAAAGATAAACTAAGAAGGATACAAATTTAAAAAATATGTATAGTATACAGCACACAAAGGCAAAATATATTGAATAAATCGTGTAGAAAATGCAATTATAAATATTTGTTTAAAATTTAATTTAATTTTTAAATTACAAAGTAATTTGCAGATAATCTTAATATTGTCAAAAACATTTATTAGTGCATAAACTTCTAGTTACTTTCATATTTTTGCAGTGATTATTTTGAAAAGTACTTACACTTTTTTTTTCTTTTGAACGCCCCCCTCCCCGCCACCCTAATGTACTAACTAGGTTCAATTTTCAACCAGAAACCATAATCGATGTAGAAGATCAAAATATTTTTTCTACAATAAAACATGTACCTATAGAGCATAAAAAACTCCGTTTGGAATCTAAAATGTGTATTAGTACATAAGTATGTAGATATATTATTTTTTTTACTTTGATACTGAAATTGACTAATTAAAAAAAATTATACCTCTGAAATAATATTATAAGTCTGTTATACTTCAATAATTAAGTCAATATTATTATTTAAATTTAAGTTTTATGCCATTATTACAGAAAAAAAACCCACTACACATAACGAGTATTGCAACAACCAACGGTGATTTCTTAAAAAAATGTGCTCCTATAGTTAAATGTGATCCAAACGCCAAATATAGAAGTGCAAATGGATCTTGTAATAATTTGGAAACACCTACGTGGGGTGCAGCAGCAACGCCATTTTTTCGGTTGCTTGATGCTAATTACAGTGATGGTAAGATACTAAATATTTTTTACTTTAAAATGTATAGAAATGTTCAAACAATTTGGAAACACTTTAACTAAGTTACTGGTTATACCTACATAAAGGCATATTATATATATAGACATATATCATATTATCGTTTATCAGACCTAATTTGTCAAATGACAGTTTCTAAACTTTTCGAACACCCTTTATAGTCACATAGTTAAGTAAATAAAATACTTACACACAAGTAAACAGTGTTAGTAATAAACAAATGTATTCATCAGTTCAAATTGTTTTTTGATTCAAACCCATTATTCTTAAACGGACAGCAATAAAATAAATGTAAACAATTATTATAATTTTGTTACTTTTGCTTATTAATTGCTCGTTACTTCGGCCTCTATTTGAGGATGGATTAGTCCGGTGGGACCCCTACGCGCTACCCCAGAGATAGTCTAAAGGCGTTTTCTATCCTACACCAGCTATGGACTAAATATCCCACACCCCTTACACAACTATTTTCTAGTTTTAAATGAGCTAGGTCTGTTAACTCTGTTGACAGAAGAATAAACATTAACATAAGGTTCCTTCGAAATCGTATTGGTGATCCTACTGCTGACCATTCGCTCCTGCCTCTTAAGTATCAACTTTCGCGTCCCTCCACGTCCAACCTGTTCTATTGCTCCATTTTCTATTCCTGAGCGCTCTACTAATTACAATCGAAATAATCCAATTGACTAATTAATGACACCCTAAGTTATAATCTGTTTACCTAGTTCAGTTTCACTTCCCTTCAACTCATACTGTTTGTATACCTATCCCTGTACTTTGGGCCAAGCCCGTATGTAATGAATAAATAAAATGTCACATATTAATTTATATTAATGTAGGCTATTACGCATTCCGATTACAAACAAATGGAAGTGCATTACCTGGGGAAAGGATGATAAATGTTAAGGTCTTTCTGAGCCATGAAACATATCGCGTTGACGGAAATAATGCACTTTTATTTCCATTTTCACAATCAATAGCCCATGACATATCGGGTTTGCCCAATGATATCATACTAGACAAGACTGGTAAGTTAATATTTTACAACCAAGTTTATTTTTTATAGTCATATCTAGTATAACTTTATCAAACGCATAATTTAGACCATTCAGTAAATTGTTGTTCGGCTGAAATTATAAAAAAGAAATATGCACAATGTCATTTGACTATGGAATCACCCGACGATCCTGTTTATAGTGCTTTTAATACAACTTGTACGAGTGCATTCCGAGCTTTTACATCAAGGAATTACGACTGTCCGTTATACCCCACAACGTTTGTAAGTAAAATTTTTATGATTTTCATAATATTACATAATCAGTCTAATTTAAAAAAAAAATGTAAAATAAGCAAAATATGCCTATATTTTCTAAAGTTATAATTAAAATTTAAAAAAAGAATATTTGTTTGCACTAATATACAGTTAACTTAATATTATATTACAACTTCATTATTATTGCATAAATTATTATTTCAACTTTTTTTTATTATTATTGAGTTAAGGCTCCGACATCTATGGTCATTAGCCCGGAGGTTTTTTAGTTTGTTATAAATATGGAGGAAGGTATGGTCGGTTAGGTGTTCTGTACATGTGGAGAGGATTCGTCACTAAAATCCTGGTGGTCACATATTTTGGAACTAGTGACACCGGTTGATGCTTGACGGTCAAGCCTTGACCTCAGAACACGTTTGTGACTGAGGCTAATGAACGCACCACAAGAGGTCTCTTAATTATTTTATATTGACAACTGTTTCTTATAAAAAATATTATATTACGCCTATTAAATAAACTAAATTACATTAGCAAAAGCAAATTATATAGGTAATTAATATTTTAATAAACCATGCAAATAATTCAAATTAATTAAATTATTTTTTACCAATAAATTACATATTATGTTATTGAGTACAATTATTTGTTTACCCAATTAGTCAGTTTATTTGTTCAAGAATATTTACATATATAAATATAATATACTTAATATGTAATAATATTATTAAATGGAATTTAAGGCCTCTATATCTCTATAGGCATTTAGTGTAAATGTGCTTTTAACCCAATAGTCTTAACTCTTAATCATCCGGTGCTAGACGTTCTATTTTAAATTATTCATACACTACAGTTATACTAATAACTAATAACTATATTTAAATATGACAGATCAATGCCAATTCACATTTCATCGACGCGTCTGAGGTGTACGGATCAAATGAAACTTATGCACTGCGCCTTAGAACTATGGATGGTGGAAAACTGAATTTCTCGATTAGTGACAATGGTCAAATGTTCTGTCCATTTTTAGAGAAGCCAAAAGACCCATCAATTGGATATATTAAATATGATACAGGTTGTAATTTATTATTAAAATTATCAGCTCTGACGTATTACAATACAAACCAACTAACTTACTTACCGTGGAACGGTGTGAATATAAAATAGACATACCGGGGTGTAAATATACAAATAGGCTATCGCTTAAAATAAATCTACACATTTTGAAACTACAAATTCATGAACATTTAAATCATTTTTGTAATAAAAAATGGATAACATTTATAAAAATTAAGAGAACATCGTAACCGCATTTATACCTACCAATATTTAAAAATGCTCATAATTCACTTAAAAATTAAAATATCTCAAATAAAAAACAGGGAACACAGATAATATTCTTATATTTAAGTTTGATAATAGATCTATTCACTCTAATATTTAGTTTCAAACTAACATCACAAAATTTGAACTGCTGAACGTTCATTTTCATATATTATGCGTTCGTAGAACAAAGACAACACATAGGGCATGACGTCCTCTTAATACCTAATGTTTGAACTCTTCTTTGATTCAAGTATTTTTTAAAGTTATGTTATGGTCATTCATTACCTTTTAGAACAGTAAAAATTCAATTTTCAACTTTGAATGTGGTTTCAGATAAAAAAATGACCTATAATTGGTACAATAAAAAGGTATAAAAAGGATAAAAGTAAAAAATTTCCAGTAATATTCTTCATAATAAGAACACTTCGAACATTTTATTATTACCTAAATGATCATTTTTTAAATATTTATACTAAATTTAATATATTTATAGCATTTCAAATTATCAAATTTTTTTACTCTATTTTATTATTGAAAACACTTAGGCTCAGTCGAAAGCTCAGCTCTAAATTTTAATAGTAGATCTCCCATAAGTAGTTCTTATAGACTTTTAAAAATATTAAAAATACATAAGCATAAAAAAAATGTCGTCCGTATATATTTTAAGTAGTATTATGCTACTAGATATTTTTCCTGATGAAATTGAGGAGTCATAGATATTATGTTTATGGGTGAAATGGAAAAATATTTAGTCACACTACGGTTTGTTAGAAAATAAATTAAATGTTTTTAGTTACTATCATTGATTTGCTTTTCTATGGCTCAAAATTGATTTTCTTGCACAAAAACATGCTCAATGATTTATCATTGAATGTAAATTTAACACAAAATACTTAACAGTGACTTACTCAGTGACGAGGTGCAATCGAAACCTACTGTACAGCAGAGCAGTAAAGTTATCTATTCGAGCACTTTTTCAGAAACAAAATGTATTATTAACATTTTTTTAAGTGGTTTACAAAAGACTTTTCAAATTACAAATTGTTTTCAGTCTTCAATTAATCACCATGTACTCGGTCTTTGATAACTGCTTTACTGTATAGTCGTGAAAGTTGTATCTGTTCTACTTTAACATTGGTTAACTGCAGCCTATAGAAACCACGACCTTAACTTTAAGTAAACTAGGTAGTAGATATTTTTTACAGGAGATCCAAACAATGGGAATCAAAATTTAGGAATCACTTCAATGCAAACCTTATTCTTAAGGTTTCATAATTATGTCGCTTCAAAACTCTCGTCTTTAAATCCATTTTGGTCCGATGAAATTATTTATCAAGAGTCACGAAGAATTGTCATTGCAACTATTCAACGCATCGCATATGAAGATTTGTTACCAATCATTATAGGTGCATAAACTTTTAAAATTATATTTTTAAGAATGTTGGTGTTAAAATATATCATTGTGTAAATTTTTTTAGGAGACGATTTCCAGGAAATATATGGATTAAATGAACCAAATATCTATGATCCTAGTATAAATCCCTCGACGTCTCAAGAATTTTCAACTGCTGCTTATCGAGTCCTACATGCAATTATACCGGTTCAGATAAAGTATATAATAAAATAACATTAATAACTAGCAATACATTTTAAATTCTTGTTTATTTTGAATATAAAATTGACCAAGCAATTAATTTTGAGTTTTGAAATGTAAGTTTTATGAACAAAAATTACGAAATAGAAAACTCGTTGAAAATCACCGATTGGATGAGAAACCCAAGCAAATTACCAATTGATAATAATTTCGATAAATTGTTAAAAGGGTTTATAGAGACTCCAGGTCGAATGGTTCAACCTTCTTACAATTTCTACGTAAGTTTGTAGTTAAATTATAATGATACATAATATTATTTCATGTTTTGTATTTTATTGAATTATTCAGATATCGAATTGTATGCTGTTATACCTAACATTCCTATATAATATAAATTCCTTGACATCAAATATATTTGTATTTAATTTATAATTTTTTAGATATCCAACTTCATGTTCCCTGAATATAACAATACTCTATTAACAGGATTTGAATACCTCGATGATGCTTCAATTTATTCACCTAATTTTGTTGGTGTTGATTTACTAGCAAGTGATATTTTAAGGGGCCGTGATGTGGGCCTTCAACCATACAATCAGGTCAGGCATTTATGCGGATATCCGTTGGCCCAAAATTTTGATGATTTAGTGGATCTCATACACATAAAAGTAGAGTATATTTTCAAAAAATTAGAATAGTAATATTTCAACATTATATATTTTAACCTTGGTACTAACATATTTATGTACTTTATTATAGTTAAATTTATACTTACTGTTATAAATTAACATTTATTCCATAAAGGTAGCATAAAAAATAATAATAAAATTCTACTATGTTAAACAATTTAAAACTGCATAAAAAATTATATTTTTTACTTTTTATTTCAGGCTATAGCCCAATTAAAACAACTGTATAACTCAGTGAATGATATCGACTTAATAGTAGGTCTTTTATTGGAAAAACGCAGTGACGGTGCAATTGTAGGTCCGACAACCCAGTGTTTAATTGCTGACGGTTTTTATCGATACAAAGCTGGTGATCGCTTTTTCTACGATGTACAAGGAAAACCTGGTAGCTTCACCGACGGTAAATAAATATACAATATAATTAATACCTACTAAGTATTATACATTTATGAAAAATGTTAATCATTTATTAGACCAACTGAAAGTGATTAAGACAATTACTCTCGGCCATGTCATATGTGCCACTTCAAACATAGACCATGTACAAAAGGATATATTTAAGACAGTCGATCACAAGTAATAATACAATTATTATTATAATTTACCACCTAATTTTGAAAAATGTTTGGTGTGTGTTTAGTTTATTTCCTACACTCAAACGGAAATGTGACAAGGAGTTCCATTTGGACTTCAAAGCCTGGAATGAATCAAATGGTCAACCGGAGTTGTGAATTGATCGATTTAAGATAGATAATTGTTGTATTTATAAAAACGGAACATTGTCGCAGACTGAAAATACCGAGATTACGTCAAATAAACGAGGAAAATATTTACATGCCACCGTATTTTTCAGGAAAATAATTATCTGGACTAGATTTCTTGTAGGGAAAGATATTTCAAAAGAATGATATAATAAAGGAATAATATTTTCAACGATTAATATATTCTTGGAATGAAATTTTTCTAAACAGTATTAAATAAGGAATATATAAAACAGAACATTTTTTTCTGCTGCTCAAAACACGTTTGACTGTGGGCACCCAGGTCCCCCTTTCCATTTTTTTTCTATAATTTATTTAACTCGTTGATATTTGTTATTTTCCATTTTTAATCAGCTGAGTGTTTGGTTTTTTAGTATAAAGATCTGGAGATTACAGACTGCATTCTTCAGTGCGTGTTCCAACTAAATACAATTTTATATAATTTTTTTTTTTGGTTTTGAAAATGTGTGAAAGGCACCCATGCGCCCCTTCCATTTTTTTTATCAACTAACTTTTGTAATTGTTTTATATACATATTTTAAACTTTATAGTTTATTCAATAAATTATATATACAATATTCTATAATATGTACTCTAATAATATTATATTATATAGATTATAGACATACTTGGGTCAATGAAAACTGTACTAAAATGCGTTAAGTACTTTTCAAGATATGTGATTACCTACATACAAAAAAAAGGCTTCAATTTTATAATATATATAGTCATATAGATAATATTGAAAAGGTACTATGATCTATGGGTACATTACTATCATAATCAAATGTTAATAGCCCCTGATTATATAGGTTTACAAATTACAAGATAATATGCTGTCATAAATACAATGTGATATTAATGTTTTTATTAAATATAATAGGTATTACCAATGGTCAATATAACAACACTATCACTGTCAAGAAAAATACTATGTTTGCTGGCTTATTGCAGAATTTCATTTGAAAACCAACGTACTATTAAAATCTTAAAAAAAAGTATTTAGAATTTTGACAAATGTATCATTAAATGACATTAAATTATACTATGTACTTGTATTTCACACTTTATAAACCAGGCAGGTATCTACTAGTATATTGTGTGGCAAGTGCGATAAGTGAACTTTTTCAGTTGTAGACTGAAGTGTAATGATATACTGTGTATATAATCAAATATGAGAGTATGCAAATATTATCAATTCAATCTACCGACTACAGTAGTAATAATAACAATATAAATATAAAATATAAAATCTTAGGCCGACAAACAGCCTCTGCTCAGAATCGTTTTTCGTATACTATGATATTATATTGGAGATGTTATTGATACTGTTTCAATCTGAAAAAACGACGCTTTACATATTCAAATTGATTTCTAGTGTAACATTATTGACGTTCACCTTCAATGGCGCAAATTCCATAATTATTTTTACTGAAAAAAATCAAATTTTTAGTTATAACATAATAAAAAATAAAAATATACCTAACTCATTAAAATAATTACCAGACATAATTTTTTCATGGGTGGTCTTTATAAAATTCAGTTTCTAAATCTTTATCAAATTTGAATTTATGTATACTACTGTCTGGTAGGGAAGTAGATTTCAGGAATATTATTGCCCGCGTATGTCAAACATAGCTTCATAAGGAAATTACTTAATTCCGTGATGTAAACTTCTGTTTTTTATAAATTGAACGAATTTAAGTCCCTCGCTATATTTATTAATTTTATTATCTGTTAACCAGGTGGCAAGCGTATTTTCTAAGTGCTATCTGAACATTTCAACAGAGCTCTGACCTTGTGAATGCCGTGGCTTGACTTGTACGATTTTCAGTTCTTTCCATACTACCATAACTCTTCAATCACCTTGTTAACAAATTCTGTACCGTTATCACTCTATAAGATGCGTGGAGCTCTAAATGTAGTAAAAATATCAAGTAATACATAGGCAACTTATTCTGCACGTCTGTATGATAGTTCTGCATGTCTGGTTTAAGTAAAACATACTTCGTTAAGTGATCTTGATAAACTAAAATATATCGATAATTTCCATCAGGTTGAGGTTGTATACTTGTATGTCAATCGAATCTACTTGACAACTAAATTCATTTCTGAAAAATGATTATCAACTAGTCCTTTTTTCACAGCTGTAATGGGACAGCCGTCGCACGACACAAAACGGTCCTTTTCGGAACCAAAAATCACACAGCATTCAAGAGACATAACACCGAAGAGACTTCGAAGCGATCTTACAACCCCTTTACCTATCCCACGCATTCAACAAGTAGTATTAAGTATAGGAAGGGCTGTGACGTTTCAAACTACACCCTTACCATAATTATTGGTCCTAAGGTCAATTTATTTCTATTTACCTGACTAAAATTTTAAGTGCTGTATATAATATTATATTCTAAATACATATTATATTATTAAAATGTGTTTAAAAAGTTTATTATTATTATTAATACAACTAAAGGTAATCCTCTAGGGTTGGAATAGTTAACTTAATAAAATATTAAATATAGCACGACCAACATTTAAAAATTTATATGGCTGTCTTAAAAAAAGAGGCTAATAATTTGGAACTTTTATATGCAAAAAGCTACTTAAATATGGAAGGTAAAAGGAGAAAAAATATGGACTTACAATTAGACGAAAGAATTAAAAAACATTAATAGAGTATGAAATAGATAGTGATTTAGTCAAATGCTTAAAAAATAGCTATTATTCAAAAATTAGAATAAGGTTATGTTTATGTACATAAATGTTTATTAGTAATGTATGTTATTAGTATTATATGTTTATATGTAATGTGATCGACAAATGTATTATTATGTGAATTTTTTATAATAATTGTAATAACTAATAAGGTTTAAAAATGAGTACCCTATTATGTAATGTGATTGATAAATGTATCATTATTAAATGAGTTATTTATAATAATAAGCTTTTAAACACGGCAGTAAAAAATACTGTCAGTTCTTAGCCTTGAAAAGTGTGAAGGGAAGTTTAAATATAATAAAATAGTTAATATATACCTATTAGCACAAATTAAGTATACAATACATTTATATACATTATATATAGCATCAAAATTTTATAATCAGGTAAATAGAAATAAATTGACCGCAAATGTCCTGACCGCATCGGTGTCGACATCGGGCCCTAATACTGCCCCAATAATACGACAAACCACACCAGCAGTAAACATACCTGCGCCGCCGTGCGACAACTCATAGTCTACTAGGCGGTAAGGGACACCGCTTATATACCGGGCATTTCTACTTCATCGAACCAGCAGCTTGCTGTACCCAATTCTAACCGCTCCAGCTCCATACCCACCAAAACAAAACTTAATATCCTACAAGAGTATATGTCAAACCTATTCTATCATACGCAGGTCCAGTATGTGGACCACTAATATCACAAGCAAACTGGCACAAACTAGAACCCGTCCAAAACATCGGTCTCCGCATCATCACCTCATCCCCACGGTTTGTGGCAAACATTACTGCCAACGACAGCTACCAGTCCAACCACAAAACGCATAAAACCACGACCCTTCTTATGGGCTAACTCAAAATAACCAAATCGAACATCACAACTCACCCAACTTATCATAGGCAAACGCCTTACACGAGTATATGGGCACTACTTCGCCGTCATACAAGCAATGCAATTCAATTAATCGATACAGCCTTCAATCAACATCCAAACCATCAACACCTCTCCAAGAAACCGAAGACTTAGACACTCTAAGACCCGGAGATCAACCCGATACAGCTTACGTATGAGCATACAAGCATCCTGAACGTTCGACGGCATTACCCGAGTGGGAAGCATTGAACCAGTAGAAATCAGCCGACCAATCCGGATCCACGATTCGTGATCAGTACAAATCGAGCAGCAGAAGTAAGTAGTAACCGCCGATATCGTACAACAGTCATACCGCGGTCGCAGACCAAGTACGAACAAGTGACCAAGACCCCCTTGTACGACGATCGACGAATGATCACCCGACCGGATGAGCCCCTTGCTCCGAGCGGCGACCATATTCTCGTCAGTTGCAAATCGCAACCGTTCGGCACACGCTAAGGGCTCCACCGAGTGACGCACAATCGAGCGCGGCCGACCGAAGATTCAACGACGCCAGGAGTCGTGTCAACTGTGAGGAGCAATACAGCAAAGCTGCTAGAGATACATAGGGTCCAGGAAGGAGGACAGCCTCGCGCTGAGCTTGGACGATCCTGTGATCCTACGCAAGCCAACTCTCCTCCTCCCCCCCTCCGGCCACTATCTAAAGTGGCCCGAGTTTGTTCCACCACACAGTAGCCGCTCCTTTAAGTTATACGCGCTGCCGCAGTGCAACTCCGTCCCTATTATTATACAATCGCGAACACACAACATTCCCTAAAAAGGATCGGACGTAATAGTTTCAATCGTCAATTCGCCGCATCGGCCCGTCCGCTTCTTTAAGCCTGGCCGATACACCCGTAGCACTAGCTGTCCCTATCATTTGTAATTAATTAACCATGCGGAAAATAAAGAGTACCTATACCAGTTGTAAACCAACGTCCGCCGGTCCATAGCGACCGTGCCATTTCACAGTTTTACCTTTTCTTTGACATACCTAATTCACATAAATTTAAATATATCATTAAACACTCCCTATAGTAATATTTTTATATTTTGCATTCAGTTCATGTTTTATTCGGTTTCAAACTCCATGTCCAATTTGCAAATGCATGTCATAAATTATTTTATACAACTAGCTCTTCGTAATAGGCATTTGATAGTATTTGAATCAGTTACAGGTACAATTAATGCATCAGTGTTACTTACATTCATCATATCATAGAGTTTCAATAATTTATAATCCTTTGGCTTTAGTTTTGCTCAACTTTTTAACCGATTGACTTCTTCTAATTAATACTACATTATATTTTACATACTTAAAAATATATTATTTGAATTTTTTTCACTCAAAAACAACATTACATTTTTCATAAAATTTCATATCAACTATTTTAAATATTAACAAAAATTAAAGTTTTAAGAAAATTAAAAATAATAATATACAGGCTATCCATTAAATGGTGACAATGGCGTAATTTCAACTGATTGGAAATTCTGTATTGTATATCCGGTCTAGGTTGTCGCGGCAATAAGCTATTAGTCTATTAATTATTATCTTTACTACAATATTATTACATTTATACATATATCGAAATCATATACGTACAGAATCAGCTGTGACAATATCTACAGTAATTAGTTAGATACTGTCGTAGAGAGGGGGCTAGGTAAATTGAGTCCGAGATAAGTTTGGTACATTTTGAAAGCGGTAAATTGAGTCCCGGGAAAAAGCAGGTAGTAGGTAAGTCGAGTCCCGGGAAAAAAATGCGAATAAGTAAATATTATTTATATAAGGATATAATATTTAGATTTATATAGATTACAAATATTACAAATACAAATTAACCAAAAAAATAAAAAATAAATGCCTTGGTAAAAACTTCATGGATATTGATTTAATAAACTAAAATCGGGTTATAACATTAAGACCTGTTTTTCCCTGGGACTCAATTTACCAAGTCCGGTAGAGAGAATGAAATCGATAATCGTTGTCGTTGTAACAATCAAGAAAAATTATACTTTGTACAGCTATACAGACGCTGAGTCGCGATAAACTAACATTTTCCACAAACAATTAAGCAATAAAAAATATTATATTATTTATCAATATCTTATCTACTAATGTAGGTAATTAATTACTTATTAATAAAATAACAATATATAGTGGGTGACTTATAGATTTTTTATTTATCATACCAACAAGAGAATCCTCAGCTGCATAAAATCGAACTACATCTAAATTATTTATAACTTGGAGGTAATTTGAGTTAACTAAATGTTCCATATTATTCAAACGTTTATTTATTTTATAATTTCCTGAAGAGGCAATTATAAAAATAAATGTATTAAAATGACAACTATTTCACAAATAAATGGTTTACCTCGAAGTACCCAAATGTTTGTACTGTTATCACACAACAAATTAACAATATTGTTTATTTATATAAGCTAAAAGAAAATTAGTGTGATAGATAGGTACCCACTCTAATAAGTTTATCTAACATTTTAGTGCACTAGTAAAAATATTTTAGTGTGCCACCGTTCAAAAATACGGCTTTTGCTCCTGCACTATTAGTTGAACTAAAACATGATGTTTTAGTGTACTAATATGATTGGTGTGCCAATGTAGAATTCAAAAATAGACCCCCTGTACAGAATTCCCAGATATTGTATTACAATGCTCGGGCAATGTAACCAAATTAAAAGATTTGCCAAAAGATGACGAGCATTGTGCACAATGCCCGAATTATACACTTTCGTCTTTTCACCGTAACATAATATATACCTAATGATATAAAATAACGGATATTCAATTAATTAATTTAAGGTCAACGTGTTTTCTAGCCGTTTATCTATTCTAAGATAGTAGATTGTTAACTTCTCACGTGGATTTTTATGTATATTTGAATAATATACTAATGAGCAATATTAATTGTTGTTATCAGATTAGTTTGTTATATAACAAATGAGCTATTTAAGAAATAAACTTGTAGGTACCTAACAACTTCTAAATTATCATTTTCTATGAGTAATTATTTTTTCCTGATTATCAAACGCTACAAACATCTGTAATGAACTCTATTTTTATTACTAATATTTTTATTTCATCATTCAAATATTATAGATAAAATTGTAATTTAAATGTTCTGTTCCCAAATACCCAATCATCCAATTAGTACTTATGTTATTGTATACTATAGTTACTACAAATGTAGTTCGATTCTAACTTTTATTGTAATAACTATTCAGATTACTTTTATTTTTTAATATTATGTAAGTGTAATAAATCTTCCAATCTTATTTTCTGGAACCATTTATCTAAATTAATCATAATATTTCCGTAAGTTTATAGGAAAACATTAACAGTGTAACTGTATAAGCCTCTGTAAAATGGAATATATACGTACAGTTATTGGTGAAACCAAGTAAGTATTATAAATAATATGATTTTATTGCTCGTTATATTATTATAATGATATGAATATAGGTAGACACACAAATGGTTCATAATACCAAAAAAGTATCTAATTAAACTAAAATCTTTGTTTAATGTAATAGTAATAGTAAGGATATTTTTTCTCGGTTAAGCCCATTGTTGAAAAAAAGAAAACCGCAGTATAAGAAATGGAACCAAAAACTGTTTAAGTGGCCTTTTAATGTAATTTTGTTCGGCGTATTGTTACTGGTTGCTGTTTACGTCTTAAACATTTTTATTACCAATGACACACAACCGGAAACTAGCAACGTCCCAAAAGTAAGTCCAATAAAATAACATTAATTTACCTACTTAACAAAATAAATATCTTTTCTCCTCAGCAAAACTAACAAAATGTATTTAATTGTATAATGAAACAAGTTCTCTATAATGCATATTGCATACAATATATAATAATGATTACCTAGGTAATTTATACAATAATATTGTCTTCAGCTAGACAACCTTTATAAACTTAATCATTCATTGGCAATAATACGTAATATGCTAATATAATACCTGTACCTATTGGAAAAGATTAAATTTAATATTTTTAAGTAAATGTTAAAAAAACAAAATGTAACTTAAATTGTTGCACAAAATATTCAAATAGTTTTAAAGTAAACTCATAACGATTTGTAGTCCCGAATTATTTAATAACAATTAACTATCTATAATACCACTAGGTAATAAAACCATTTTAGCATTTCGCGACTTACCCTTAACCTGTCTCGCGACTCACTGAATGCCGAGTGGCGACTCACCAAGTGTTTATTAATACATAAAAACAAGTGCACTATGATAATAAGTAGGGCTGTGAATTCATAGGAAAGTGCATTTTTTTTTGGTGATTGTAAAACATAGCTTTGTGAATACATAATATGAATTATGTAATAACGAATCCATCTATGAAACTTTTATTTTGCATAATTTTGCATTTTTTGACATTTTTGAATATTTAGGTCATTTTTTCGCATTTTTAGGTCATATTTTACTTTTTTAGTCCATTTTCTAGTATTTTTAATCAAATTCCATCAATTGACTAGTTTGAAAACTTTTATTTTTATTTTACACGGGCTGTATATATTATGTCAAATTTATATTTTATTAAATAATATTTTACACGAGTCACACGCTATATACGGGTTAGGTAAAGATAACGATTAGATAAAATAAGGCAATTGCTAGACAACTAGATAACTTAGATAAGTTATTGACTATTGTGGCATATCGTCAAATCAAATTCAATCAACATTTTTACTATTTATTTTTATTTTTTTAAATACTTTTTTAACACTTTTTTGTACTAATGTTTAATATCCTGTATAAAATAATATTAATATAAATATAAAAATTAAATTAAAAACCATTTTTAATAAATTTTATACTATAATTTTTGGCATTTTATATTCCTTTTTTTTGCGTTTTAAGTGCATATTTTGCATTTTAAGTGCATATTTAATTGCATATTTTTGAAATTTTTAATGCATTTTTTAAGGTTTTTTAGTGCATTAAATTCACAGCCCTAATAATAAGTCTAAACCACTTGCATAGGCGTGTAACTGGTTTCATTTAGCGTAAGCTGTTTTGCCATTGTAATAAGTAATAATATAAACAATATGAATATTAAAAATATTATTATGTATGTATTTAACGACTGATTTCGAATTAAAAATCTATCTTCAGGTTTAAAAAAGTCAAATAAAATTGAGAATTTTTTTTATAAAAAATATTTAATGATATCATACCAAAAACACATCGTTATAACTCCGTATAAAAAAATCTAATCTTAAAAAAATCATGTAGGTTAGATTAACAATTAAACCTTTAAAATACGTGATATAATATGGAAACTAAGTAAAATGCCATTTTGTAATATCACAAATACCTATGACGACAAATAAGATTAATTGTAAAGTCAATCACTTGGTCAACATATTGTTTATAAATTATTAATTTATTTACGAAATGTATTGTGGTGGTTATACTTACATGTTCTGCCAAGTAAACAATATGATAACTAAGTGTTTAACTTTACAATATTATAGGTATTAATCTTATTTGTCGTTATTGGTATTTGTAATATTACAAAAGGCATTTAACTTAGTTTCCATATTATATCACGTCTTTTAAAGGTTTAATCATTACTTAATGTATTTACTACATGATTTTTTTAAGCTTAGTTTTTTTTTACACAAAGTAACAACAGTGTTTTTGATGTGTTTACCTATACTTGAAACTAGAAAACATAAATCCCTGCAAATAAATTATGATGAATGATGATTGATAAAAGAGTTCTTCATAAAAAAAATTAATTAATTTAGCACTATTACATACAAATCACATCGTAATAATAATTTAGTTTTTTTATAATTGCAATATCTATACAAAATTACCTATCCATTATATTGTATTCCAAGATAAAGTATTTCTGATAGTCTGATATAAATTATAATCCCACAACTGCATCAATATCAATTTAAATTATATATTATTGCAGGAAAAGCCTCCATTACACATCACGAGTATTTCAACGACAAACGATGATTTCTTAAAGAAATGTGCCCCTATAGTTAAATGTGATCCAAACGCTAAATATAGAAGCATTAACGGGTCTTGTAATAATTTGGAAACACCTACGTGGGGTGCAGCAGCAACGCCATTTCTTCGGTTGCTCGATGCTAATTTTAGTGATGGTGAGACAATTAGACATATTATAATATTATTAGTAATATGTTTTTAATCAAAAACATTAAATTAATTATAATAATAAAAGATTTTAATTAAAATATCACAAATATTCATTAGTTAAGTATTTATCTCGTGATTTGTAAAAAAGATTTTATTTTTTTTATTTCAATCATTTGAATTACTATTAAGTATTAACAGTATTAACTCATTATGTATTTATCATTATTAAGGTTATTACGAATTACGAGTACAGACGAATGGAAGTGCATTACCCTACCCCAGGGTGCTCGACGTTAACATATTTCTGAACCGTGAAATATATAAAGCAGATGAAAATAATGTTCTTTTATTGCCATTTGGACAATTATTAGCTCATGACATATCGGGTTTGCCCAATGATCTAGTATCAGATGAGAATGGTAAGACCAACTTTTACAATTATCATGATTTTTTCATACTTGAAAATTGTAATCATTTATCTTGTCTCAAATGCATAATTTAGGTGACGCAATAGATTGTTGTTTGACTGAAAATAAAATAAAGAATTATGCTCAATGTCAAATAGTGCTTGAAAATTTACCCGACGATCCTGTTTATGGTGTCCACAATAAAACTTGTTCACCAACATTTCGATCACTGACGTCAAGAAATTACAGTTGTCCGTTATACCCCACAACATTTGTACGTCAAATTTTCTTCTATTTTACTGTGATATAAAATTAGAATCAAACATTTCAGATTAATGATAATTCTCATTTTATTGACGCATCTGAAGTGTACGGATCAAGTGAAGGTTATGCACTACATCTTAGAGCTATGGAAGGCGGAAGACTTAAATTCTCCATAGGTGACAATGGTCAAATGTTCTGTCCATTTCTAACCAATCAAAACAAGGCATCAAAGAGAAATAAAATACCACATATCAAATACGATACAGGTTAATAATATTATGATATTAAACATCGATATATTTTTAAATTTTTTCATAAGATTTGCATGTTTCATTGTAATTTTATTCTAAACATTTTTATGACAAAAAAACAAAATATATAAACATTTCTAAACTATATTAAGTAGTTTTAACATGCACATATTGTGATGAATTATTCATTCAAAATAAAAATGGGTAATTACAATATAGACGTATAGTTTAAGATATTTTGTATTAATTAAACTTAAACATAACAATTTACTACCACAACTAAAATATTTCAAATGGCTGATATTCACAACTCTACCAAACAAAGGATCATCCCAGTAATTTCAGGAGTACAATTTTTAAATCACAACAATTTCTTATAAAGTATATTTATTATTTAATACTGCAGATACCTTATATTATATTATGATATATAAGTCTTAACACCATCATTAATGTTGGTGGATGTTGTGTTATAGGGGATCCAACTAACGGCAATCAAAATCTCGGAATTACCGCAATGCAGACTTTATTTTTAAGGTTTCATAATTATATTGCTTTTAAGCTTTCGTCTTTAAATCCATTTTGGTCCGATGAAATTATTTATCAAGAGTCACGAAGGATTGTCATTGCAACTATTCAACGCATCACGTATGAAGATTTCTTACCGATTATAATTGGTAGGTATTTATTTATTATAGCATTGTATTGGCGATTGGGTACTACAATTATCATTTTAAAAAATATTAGGTGATGATTTCCAAGAAATATATGGATTAAATGAAGCAAATATATACGATCCTACCATAAATCCATCCACATCCATTGAATTCTCAGGTGCCGCAAGTCGAGTTCTTCACGCAATCATACCGGTTGAGTTCAAGTAAGTAATAACAACGAACCGTACTTTCTTTTTTACTATCTATGTAAATACATAATATATATTGAACTTAAAACTAATTTTGAATTTTAACGTTTAAGTCTTATGAACAAAGACTACAAAATAGAAAATTCAATAATAATTACTGATTGGATGACAAAAGCAGACCTAATACCTTTAGGTGATAATTTTGATAAACTGTTAAATGGGTTTATAGAGACTCCTGGTCGAATGGTTCAACCTTCATACAATTTCTATGTAAATTAATCATATATTATAATTATAAATATTATCCGCTTATTAATTCATTGCAAGTAAGCCCTTTAAAATTTTTTTTTTTTTGTACATCTAGATTTCTAATTATATGCTTCCTCTACCAAACAACCCTCCATATAATGGTCGTGATCTACTTGCAATCGATATTGCAAGGGGCCGTGACGTGGGCTTACAGCCATACAATCAAGTCAGACATTTTTGCGGGTTTCCCTTGGCCAAGGATTTTGAAGACTTGGCGGATCTTATACATATAAAAGTATAATTAACTATCAATTATTTAAAATTATATATATAATATTATGTATTTATGTATATTACATATAATTATACTTACGAGTATAAGTATTTTAATTATATTCATGTTACCTGATACAGTTACAAATCACAATAATTAATATTAACTAGGTATACAAATACTAGGTTATTTGTTACTTTATTATTAAATTTTAAAAATACAATTAATTATTTTAATTAATGTTAACAAGCCATTTTAAAATTGTATTTGTCTAGGATGTAATCAAATTAAAAAAAAATTATTTTTCGGTGAATGATATCGACTTAATGGTGGGTATTTTATTGGAAAAACTCAGTGACGGTGCAATCGTGGGCCCAACAGCGCGTTGTTTAATTGCAGACGGGTTTTATCGATACAAAGCTGGTGATCGCTTTTTCTATGATGTTCAAGGACAACCTAGCAGCTTCACCGATGGTAAATAAATCATAAATATGATTGATATAAATAAAAGGAAATTCATGAAAAATGTTAATCATTTATTAGATCAACTAAAAGTAATTAAGAAAATTACTCTTGGTCAAATTATATGTGCTACTTCAAATGTAGACAATGTACAAAAAGACATATTTAAAACAGTCGACCACAAGTGAATATAAATCAATCAATACATGTTATATGATTTTAATGTCTATCCATGTTAAATTGTTAAATTTTTTTTCAGTTTATTTCCAACTATCAAAATAAAATGTGATGATGAACTAAATTTCAACTTTACAGCCTGGGAAGAAGTAAATTATCATTCAGAACTGTGAGCGAATTGAACAGTTTGAACTATGAAGCAATAAGATAAATATTTACTGTCTATTATAATGTTAAGCCTACCAATTAGGGTTTGCTTAGTTTGGATAAATACCAACCTAGTCTTTAATTTATTACTATAATAATTATTATGAACATTGGATATTTATCTATGTTTAAATGTGTTATTCCTATTGGCTATTACTACCAAAAATGATATATTAATAAATTAACTTCAATATTTGTCATGTTGTAATAGTTTTGTGGTTATTTTTTGTGACACATTAACTTTTTATATTGAAAAACGTATAATTTATTTTTCCAGATTAATTTGTCAAATACCAGAGGCTTAGTTAAGTATTTTTTTTAATTATTATTAAATTATTGTAATTTTATAAGTCAAGTAGGTAGGTTTTTGGTACCTAACAATAAACATACTAATATTGTAATATGTCAAATCCAAGTTTAATATAATAAACATTTAAAGAAAAACTTAGTTTATATTTTTATTTTTTTTCTATTCACTATTATTATGGAAAGTCAACAGTGATTACATTCAAAAATAATATTGTAGTCAAATTATTAACAATGTCCTGAAAAATGATGTAGGTAATTATTATACTAATATTAGTAGGTATTTACATAATGTACAATAATAAATTACTCATTTTTAGTATTATTATCGAACATGGATGTTTAAAATATAGGTACCTACCTCTAGTTTATCTATGAAAGCGATTTAATGTATTTTTATTTTTTAGTATCTAACAATGAGGTTATAAGCCAATACAATTATACTATTTACATTGTTTAAAATTATGTTAAATTTAGTTTAAAAATTTGAAAAGTTTATTGAAAGTTTTAGTTGTAGGTGCAAAGAATTCATGCATGTTGTTTAGTTTATGGTGCCTTAAAGAAGACTTAATAATGGTAAGTAACCTGGTGTAGGTACCTACTGTACTTCTGCACATCACAGTTAGGTGTAAGTCACTGCACTGTATGTATGTATTAAATTTGAATTCAATGATAAATCATTGCATACAAAAAATGATTTTGAGTGAAAACGGTCTGCCAGTCAGCTACCTATATTACTATAAAAATTTTTTTAGGTTTTTTAATAAGTACCTACCTTTCTATTTTGTATCAGAGGACTGGCCCAATTATGATTGATTTTACAATAATATATGTATTATTTTATTTTCTGTAAATATTTGTTCAAGAAGTGAAGCTACATAAACAATTAATAAATAACATGCATATAAAAATTGGGTTGGATAAAAAATATATTGTCAACTAATATTAATATTAGTAATAAATAAATAGTTCTAATTTGGCATTAAATGACTTAGTAAATACACATGATATAATTTTGTAAATATTTTAAATACTGTTATAATATTTTCCTTAGAGCTGTATTTCTATGGATTTTGATATTTCTATGAAAAAATTTAATTAAACTAAATCAATAAAATAATCAATTGAATAAAAAAGTAACCAAACCACGTTTTATTTTCCTATACTTCACCTTTTAGAGTAGAAATTAAATCTCCGTCTTCTTTCACTTCTTTAATTAAATCCAAAACTCCAATCAATGATCTTTAACATAAGCATGTGAGTATATTGGCCAATCAAAATAAACTTTTAATCCTCGTCGAACTTCTTCATCAGAGAAAATGTCAAATGTTCCATAATCAATGCTACTGTAAATAACTGTTTATTAATAATAAGTTATGACCTAATGCTTTTTACAAATTCATACCTATACTAATTATGAATAACTCTATATTGTAATACTTACATTTGGTTTAATACTTTGATCAACTGATTGCTAAATCCACAGTGAGCAACTAGTTTATTGTAATAAATAATAATAAATGCCATAACATCAGATTTATGTGTAAATAGTTTGAGCCTGAAAGAAAATAATAATTGAACCCAGTCTTTAAAAATATTAATTGAAGATACAGGTAATCCATTATGGTAAATAATTGTACCATAAATAATGGCAGAAGGGGTAATTTAAGTAAGTTAACAAGACTGTTTAAACTGTTCAAATATAAAGAAATGTATAACAAAAAAAATAATCCGTTGTGGGACTCCTAGCAGATGTAAAACCACAACATTGATGGTTATTAAAAGAATTTATAATTAAAGAAAAAAATTAATTGAATAGAAACATAAAATTTGTTTAAACAATATATATATATATATATACTTTTTTTATTATTCTTACTATAAATTATTTACCTATTCAGAATACAAATACAAAACAAATATTTTCAATATAATTTTTGTTCAAGGAAAGTTGTCATAAGGATTAATCGTTTGTTGCAAACTACTAAGTATAACTAATATTATTATTATTATATTATTTTTTTTATACGTAATTTATTGCCATTGGTTACAAATACATTATTAATTATTTTACGTAATTCAGTTAGTAGTCACTAGTCACAGCATACAAGCTGGTCTAATCACCAAGTTTCACATCAAAAAACCAAAATAATCTTAAACAGAATATTTTTTAACTGAAAAGAGAAACATAGATGTTTGAAAAATAATTACAAAAGAAAAATAATTTATCCGACATTAAGGTTAGCTATAATATTTTCTAGTTTTAAAAGACTATTTAGCCCACCATTCAATATCAATTCCTTCACAATATCTAATCCTCCAATTAATTCACCACTTTCAGTTAATTTGAAAACTAGAGGGTTCTTAACTAACTCACGTAAATTAAAATTTGTTCCAAATGATTCAAACATTGAATGTTTCCTAAAACATGCAGGCTCAGCAAATCCATTGTATGACACAATTGAAGAATTCTTCTGCACTCAGAATTTAAAATTGTGTTTCCTGTGTGTAAGTTATGAAACTGAAGTTTTAACTGATATATCTGTAATGTAAGCAGGGGATGAGAATGAGGCAGTATAATTGGCTGAAAAACAAGAGACAGCCAAATAGAATTAATAAAACAAAAAAAAATTGCTAAATTAGTACAAAAGTACAAACAACAACATAAGTACAAATTATAATTCATAAACTATAAAATAAAACTACAAACCTTTAAAAATATATTCATTCTTATGTCTTATGGCAATAGAGGCAATGATATCTCCATATGGCGATTGCCATAAGAAACTCAATTATGTGAGCATACAGCATAATAATTCTGTCAATCATAATATTTATATTAATATAAAGTTTATATTATAAACATTTGTTGAAATAGTCATAGATACATGTATCACAAATTGTGACTTCAACAATGTACACAAAAAAACACTCACCAAAATCAGTACAATAGTGTTTGTAATACATCGAATGCTGGACTTTTAACATTGTAATAAAAATATAAAATGCCAAGACTTTAGACAACATTTTACTAAAATAAAAAAAAACACCACGACATGCAAACTACAGGTACAAGGTAAAAAAATTTAAATAGAAATGTAGTCTGTAGAATTTTGTTTTGTGAAAAAAGTTAAAAATTGAAAAACCATAAAACACTACACGTAGGTAAAATGTAAATATAACCTACAGGCTATAATAGGTATAAACGGGTGCAAATCACTATTTAGTTTTCAACGTTTTCATTCAAATTTCAAATTTTTAACCGACATGAGCAGTGAGCACTACATGCGATATTGCGGAAACAGTCGCAGATCACAATATTGATATGACTTTTGATCACGGTTTAAGATAGATCTTAAACCGTGCTTTTGACACAGATATATAGAATTCTATATATCTGTGGCTTTTGATTCAAATTGTATGACATGTGTGATAATATTTTTCTAATCGGTATAATATGATGGTATATTTCGTGATAAAAACTTCCTTATCATTTTTCGGACAACTGCACCCAACTCCACAATCCACCATAATATCAGATATCTAACATAATATAATTATTTATTATCCATCTTTATTAATTATTTGTTATAATATTACCATTACTTTATTTAAAACACTGAATTTATATTAGGTATTATAAGTTATAACCACCCATGATCTGGTATTAATTTACTTTTTAGGGCTATTTGTAAATAAATTAAAAAATGTTGTAGTGTCTACCTTTAATATCAAGCAAAGGTTTAAGCATTAAGCATATAACACTTTTATTATAATGGTTCCTATTTCTAAAACATTTTTACCCTTATACATACAAAGAGGAAATATCCAAATTCCTGTAATTGGATGTAAGTCATAAATAAATATTTTTATTTTGTCTCAAATATCGATCATACTTATTTATTTTAAACTTTCTCTAATTTTAGTTGGTACGTTCACAATTTGTGATAAAAAAATAAAATTGAATGTCTTGGATATGGCACTTGGCGCATGTTATCGTCTAATTGGTAAATTTATTGAATATTTTTACAAATGTGTATATATATATATATATAAGTTAATGTGATTATTTAATTTACAAAATATATTTAGAAAAACTAAATTAATAATGAACAAATGATTTAATTGCTTGAAATAATATCATGCTCGTTTTAGGCATTTTTACATGCAATAGTAAACTTTGTAATTATCTTTGTGTATAATTATTTGTCTTATTATTGGTTTATGTGTTGTTATTTGAACAATTTGTTTTTATTTTTTTATTTTTTGTTACTCTTCTATATTTGATTATAAATTTAAATATTTCATTAAAATCGTAGTATATTTTGCATTTGTCTATTTATTAATAAATCATTTTTACCCAGTATTTTAGTATAATATAATATTGTTTTTCAGACAAAGCAGCAGTGTTTAACAGTGAGCTGTACATCATGACAGCACTTCAAGTGTCATTACCTAAGTATCATCTGAAGCATGACAATTTGTTTATTACATCAAAATTAAGTATATATTTCTGTGATTAGCCCAATATAATACAATTCTGAGAGGTAGTGTGTCTGCCTATTTCTTAAGATATTTTTTTACTTATTTATTGACTATAAGTAATTTTATTTTTTCATTAGTAGAAATGTATTTTGAACTAATTTTTTTCCAAATAATCATCTTATGGTATATATTTATGTATAATTATTATGAAACTATGTCAGTACTACATTATGTAGATAGATTCATTGGATGTATAGCTTAAAATTCCTGTGTATACAAATTAATAGTAAACTGAAAGGCAAAAAATTTCAAATTCCTACATGTAACAATTTTGAATTTTTTAAATGTTGAACATTTTTTTTGCTGTATAAAGTGTCTCCAGACACAACTAAGTGGGTCTACGACAAATGAGCGAAAGAAAAGGTGCGAATGTAAATGAGCGAATAAAAAAGAGCGAATACAAAATGAGCGAATAAAAATATGAGCGAAAACATATAGAGCGAAAAAATATATAGTATAAATGTTTTCGTCTTTAAATATTTTATACCAGCTATGTACCAATTATGTGAAACTAGTGAAATATTTTAGGATTCGAAAAGTCCACGATAACGATTCGATAAGATTACGTTTATGATTATTTATCACTGTCGTCGTACCTAGGTTGAATTTGTTATTTTAGTCGTATATTTTTTATTGTTTATTATTTTTTTTATTTTATATTATTATTTATCTAATTTTTCATTGCAAGTTTAAATGTATTAATTCAATATTCAATAAGTATGACAAACATGAATAAATATGAAATATTTTAGTTTATATTATTATATGTGCAATCTATTATATTTTCGCTCTATAAGTTTTCGCTCATATTTTTATTCGCTCATTTTGTATTCGCTCTTTTTCATTCGCTTATTTACGTTCACTCTTTTTCTTTCGCTCAATTGTCGGGATACCCAACTAAGTAATACTTTCATTGCTCTACTCAGAATCTAAAAGAAATTGAAAAATCTTTATTTATAGAGGTACAATAGATACATGTATTATTTACTACACTTTTTTAAGTTAAAATATACTCATAGCCTTTTATTTTAGTATAGTTTTACCAACCAGTATTTTATTACCCTTACACTAACCGCTATTTAAATGAATTTGAATCTAAATCTAGAAACTCAGCCAGGTTTTTTTTCCACAAAATATATAATAAAAACTTGCATCAATTTGACTATTTTTGTTTTTTCTTTAAGACAAAATATAATACCCAATAATGTACCACAATACATTAACTGCTAACCGATGAAGTTAATAATATTAAAAATCTTAACTGACCATGCATTGTTCTAATAGGAAATATTATTTACCGATAAAAGTCATATAATTTTGTTTATTAAATAACACTTATACATTAGAACAATTTGAGTTGTACATTATTAATATTTGAAATGATAATAATATTATATTATTATTATAATTATAATTTTTTTTTCAGAAATCCCAAAGACTATGGAAATGAGTAACTGCAAGTAATAGCAGTTGGGCAAAGTTCACCTGATAATCTACATACCAGTTACTTGGATTTATATTTAATACACTAAGACCTGAGTTTCATAAAGTATGCAATATTTCCAATATTGTTCTGTGGGAGGATCTTCTGGTAAAAATGCATTCTTTAATATTGAAGTAATAAATTGTACTGTTAAAAAACATTCCAAGTGCTGCACAGGTATTGTTAAAATGGGCTTTAATATGAAGAAATAATGGAGAGTGGCTAACAGTCTTAACTCAATGAGAAACAAGTTAAATTTGGTGATAGGGATAACAAGTTACGTCTCTGTCAAACAATTACCTGTTTGTTTCTTATGTGCATCCAAAATAAATAATTATCGTTTATTAGTTTTCCAATTTACCATTATACAATATATTATGTTATATATAAATATACTATAAACATAATATTATTATATTATATGTAATTTTATCAGTTATATCATTATATGATGTGATCTTATTGATGTATCAACAAGTTCAATGATAAAGTAGTGTAGATGACCAAAACCAATGACTAAAATAGAATTACTAGAAATGAACAGACAGGCATGTGATAGAAATGCCGAGTAAGTTTAATACTATATTCATCATCTAGTATTCTAGTTTGTAAGATGAATATAAGTAGTGCTTGGTACATGCTGTTTACTTTCTAGTACAAGACTCCTAACCTTGACTGCCTAAACCTTAAGCAGCCTGGTAATATGGCTCTTCTATTCATTATATCCAACTATCGTAGTCTGTGAACAAAACCAATGAAAAGTATCAATAATTAATGCACAACGAATAAGCCAGTAACTCAGTTTTCACTACTTTTCACTAGAAGCAAATTAAAGTTTGAATTACAATTCTTATCCTTAAATTATTTAGATTTTATTGAAACTTAAACAACATTTTATTTGTGTAGAACTAGATATGGCCTGATATCAATTTCACTAAAGTTTGGATTGTCCTGGGTTTTCCTTGAGTTACTTCCTTTCACAAAAGGAGGTAACTCAAGTTACCACCATTTTCGGGGATAAAATATGACCAATATAAAGCAGTAACTTCTTTATTAATATAAAACAAAATACAAAATATCTTTTTCAACCTTGCAAATATAAAATAATAATATTATTATAATATATTGTATAATCATTAACAATACCAATAGATCCCTTCTTACTTTTGTCCTCTTCTTCTTCTCGTGTGGTCGACAAAACTCATATACCTATCTCTGACCAATATTTTATAAAATCGTTTCTTACTTTTGTAAAAAAAAATAAAACTAAAAATAGTAATTAATAATAATAACAATAGGAACCTTTAATAATATAGTAAAATATTATATTGTATAATCATTAACAATACCAATAGATCACTACTTATTTTTGTAAAAAAAATAAAACCTAATTTCCAACTTTTACTGTATTGAAAATCATGATACAGTTACTGCCGTCTTTGTAGGAGATAGTGCAAATAAATGTTTACTACGATGTAGCAGTAACTCAATTTTTCATTTTTTTGAGTTACTGCCTTATTCGTCGCGCATGTCGAATTGTTGTTATTTATATTTTTGTATTAATTATTGATAATATTATCGTACATTATATTGTTCATTACAAGTTGTATGCACAATTTAATTCAACTTTTTTTAGCTATGTTAATCATTATTTTTAAGTTCACTAATTTTTTATTTTAACAATTACTTTTAATATGAAAAATCATTGTTATATATTTTTTTTTTTTTTAAAAACCCCTTTTTCTGTTGTACTACTATGACTAATTAGTGATATTAGTGATCAAAACCATAAAAATAACCTACCTTCACTTTTATTAAATGTTTTCCTGTAAAAATGCTAAAACTAATACTGGATGTTTAGATACAAATTGGAATTGGTGCTGTTCTATTTCTGTTTAATCTTAAACATAATATTATTTTTCTATATTTTTTTCTAATTGTATCATTAGTTAATAATTATATTATTATTATCATTATTTTTTAGATACAATTCACTGTACCAAAAAATAAAAAAAATATTTTATGAATCCCAAGTTAAGTACACTCATGATGTGTTTAGTATACGTATAAGAATTTTTCAGCGAAATATAATAAAATAGCTAAATTTTATTATAAAATTATATTTAACACAACTTGTGCGTTTAAGTATCAAAATAAATTTGGATTTGGTGTGGTTGTATTATAGTTGTGTTATAAATATTAATATAAAAAATAAAAAAATAATAAATATTTATTATTATTATTAATTTATAGTAGAACTCTGATTACCTAAACGCCAATCAACTGGACGAAAAAAAAAGATCTGTCTTTTAATGACTAGTAAATCGTATTTTGTCGTACTGTTTTCAGTTAAAATTATTTGTTTATTGTTACACATTTCAAATTATATTATATACATATAGA